TCCTGGCCCCAGGCAGCCCCCTCTGTCCTGTGAGGCTCTTCTTTTACTTCCTTTGTGACCCAGAACTTCTCTCATTATTCCTCCTCCCTTTAATGTCTGTCAGCTCCCCATGAAAAAAAGTCTTCATGCCTTCTTTGGTATGGTAGCAGGCGTTTTCGTATGATGAAGTCTGTGTGTCTGGTATTCTGAATCCTACTATGAAATTTAGTAGGGCTTGAAATGAAGTCAGATTCACCTCAGCTTGAGTGTGTGTGGCTTCTTGACTTCGCTGATATAAAGGAACGTTAGGTCATCTGGCATGGTGAGAACCGGCCCTGGGCTCTGAGCTCCGAGGCCGGTGGGGGTCTAGTTCTGCCCCATCAGATCAAGGCTTCCTTTTCCTTGTTTCACCCATTGCCCCTCTCTGCACACGCCCCGCCCTTTGATTCTGTTTTGAAAAAATTCTTTCAGGCAAACGCCTGCAAATAAGGAACCCTCTGTTTTCCATTCTTTAGTAACTGACCAGAGTAAGCCCACCAGGCTTTGCTCGGTGTAGAGAACCAGGTTCTGATGACTTCCAGCCAGAAGCAGAAAGGCTGCCTTTTAAATGAGCTACTGCAGCATAATTACGGGTGATTCTCTGATTCCTATCTGAAATGATGAAATACTGGAATCAGCTTTAGATGTTCAAGTTGGAGATTGCAACTCAAAGCACTATCTCCTGAGTAAACAGACAAATCATTTAAAAGGTGCTGCTTAAAGTGTATGGGGACACTGGGGGCTTGGGGGTAAAATTCTTGTCTTCCATGTGGACGACCTGGGTTCGATCCCCAGCCAGTGCACCTTGTGTGCAGCCACCACCTCCACCCGTCTGTCAGTGGAGGCTTGCATGTTGCTATGATGCCGAACAGGTTTCAGCTGAGCTTCCAGACTAAGATAACCTAGGAAGAAAAGCCTGGTGGTCTACTTCTGAAAATCAGCAAATGAAAATGGGATGGAGCACAATGGTCCCATTCGTAACCAATCAAGGGGAAGGTGCAGGACTGGGCAGTGTCTCCCCATGAGGTGAGGGCCAACTCCATGGCAACGAACAACAACAACTCAAAGTGTAGTCTCCAGACTGTGTATGTCCTCACACTGTTTATTACCAGTTCCCAATGAGATAGGTACAGGATTTGAGAATAAGCATTTAGAAACTTCTACAGCAATTGGACATTGTCAAGACATTCAAACAGGACAATATAAAAGTATCTATCTGTGAAAATTTTGGGGGAAAATGATCCTTCACCATATAGGTACCTTGAGAAGCCTAATTTAGAAAATGTAGCCCTGGTGGTGGGGTGGTTAAGAGCTTGGCTGCTAGCCAAAAGGTCAGCAGTTCAAATCTACCAGCCACTCCTTGGAAACCCTATGGAACAGTTCTACTCTGTCCTGTAGGGTTGCTATGAGTTGGAATCAACACAATGTCAGCGAGCTTTTTCATTTTAATTTAGACAATATAGCTCCTATTGGTAAGATCAGATGGATCTGAACTTAAAAGTTATAAATGTGAGCCCTAGAACCAAGCTGATGGGTTTGTATGCAGTATCTGCCACTTGCTGTCTCTGTGGCTTTGGGCAAGTTACTTAACCTCTCTGAGACTCAGCTTCCTCATCTTTACAGTGGATACAGCAGTACTTCCTATATCATTAGGTGCTGGGAAGACCAAACGAGACAATCAGGGAAAGTGCGAAGCAGTTTAACTGCTGGTATTACTGCTTCTATGTTCATTTTTTTGCATCAGTGTTTCTGGCTTGGTGAAAGCATGTTCTGTATGTTTATGAGTGTATATGGCATCTACTATGTTGCCTTCATGTGAGTACAAGGTAAAGCAAACACTTTTTTAAAAGCCACAACTTATATATTTACATAATTTTTTGTTTTCATAGAATCCCTCTAAGAGGCTAGACCCTTAGCTCAAGAGTGCTGCAATTGTTGGAAACATTTTCTGCCCTCCTTACTTAGCATTTCTATTAGGACCTGTTACAATGATCTATTCTGGTGTAATAAACCACCTCAAAACTTAGGGTCTTACAGCAACAGTTTATCATTATCTCTCATGGCTCTGTGGATTGACTGGGCTCGTCTGTGTTCTCACTTGGAGTCTTTCAAGCAGTTGTAATCACATGTTGGCTGGTGCTGGAGTCATCTGAAAGCTCAACTGGGTTGGACATCCTAAAGGGCATCTTCACTCTTCGTGGCTGGTGCCGGGGCTGAGACAGCTGGAACAGCTCTGGGCTGGCTGGGCAGCTCTCTCTCCCGTGGTCTTTCCGCATGGCTAGCTTGGGCTTCCTGACTACATGGTAGACTCAGATGAGGGAGACAACTTAGTTGGTGGCCAGCTTCCCCCAGAATGAGCATTCTAACAGGCAGGAAGTGGAAGCTGCTGGTCTCTTAAGACCTGGGCCTGGTAATGGCTTAGTGTTGCTGTTGCCATATTCTGTTGTCAAAGCAGTCACAGAGCCCTCTCCCATTCATGTGGAGGAGACATAGACTACATCTTGATGGCAGGAGGGTCAAAGAATTTGTGCCCATCTAAGGAGCCCTGGTTGCACAGTGGTTAAGCACTCAGCTGCTAACCGAAAGGGTGACTCTTCAAACCCTGCAGAGCAAGCAGTGTCTTTCTTTAAAGATTACAGCCTCGGAACCCCTAAGAGGCAGTCCTACTCTGTCCTGTAGGGTCGTCACTAATGAGTCAGAATCGACTCAATAGCCATGGGTTGGGATTTGGGTTTTTAATTTGCTACAGAGCCACTGGAGCCCTGGTGGCACGGTAGTTAAGAGCTCAGCTGCTAACCAAAAGGTTGGCAGGTTGAATCCACCAGCCGCTCCTTAGAAACCCTATAGGGCAGTTATACTCTGTTCTCGCTATGAGTTGGAACTGGCTCAACGGCACATAACAACTACAACAGAGCCACTAAAGAAATGGGTATATCTTTCTTTTCACCAAAGACATTGTATAGCTTCCCAAGGGGACTACATTGACCTAAGTAACACTCATTTTGATTAAAGTTTTTTTATCTGTTTGAGTAAAACACTAGCCATTGCATTATGGTGACACCTCACATAACTTTGTGGGTTTTTTTTTTTTTTTAATGGCTATATACACACAAAACGTTTGCCATTTCAACTCTTTTCATGTACAATTAAGTGACGTTCGTTATGTGCGCCATGTTGTGCCATCACCATTGGCCATCTGCAGTTTTTTTCATCACCGTTAACGGAGACTCAGTGCCCCCTAATCAATAATCCCCCTTCTCCCCCTCCATCCCACCCCTGGTAACCACCAATAAACTTTGGTCTCTATGCATTTACCTGTTCTAGATATTTCATATAGGGGGGATCACATACTATTTCTCCTTTTGTGTCTGACTGATTTCACTCAACATCCTGTTGTTAAGGTTCATCTCCGCCATCGCGCAGACATCGTGCCTGTGTGTGTTCGCTGTAGTCCGCTATGCTGGGGAAGGAGTGGGATGCATCATGATTTCCACCTGGGAGCTCATCCTCCTGCTCAGACCTGCTCTACTTCCTGTGTTTGAATTGTCTCAGCGACCTCCTCATCCTCCTCCTTGCCTTCCTACACTCCTCCCTGCCCCCACCTTACCTGCCACAAAGTAATCTCTCAGAAGCCGAGCTGGAATCATGCTGTTTCTCCATTGTTCAAATAACTTCACTCACTCCCATTTCTCATACAGTCTCTGGCCCATGCACCCAAACAGGCAGTTGGAAGGGAACACCTTTGCAGTTAAGTTTTCCCCAAATGTTCTCCCATCTTCCAATACCACTACCCAAACACACACCCATGCGTGCCTCAGACACACAACCCTGCCCCCAACACACACACACACACACACACACACACACACACACACACACACACACACGCTCATGCTCATGTCATTCATTCAACAAATATTTACCGTCAGCTTTGAACTCCAGCAGCTCAATTATTCTTCTGCAAACATACCTTCTGTTTTTCCCTTCCTGGGGCTTTGCTTACGTTCCTTGAAGGTTAGGTGCCTTCCCTATTAATGTTTTATGTTTCCCGTAGTACCAGCCCACACAGCAGTAAACATTGGTTGCACTGCTGCACAGACATGAGATTTGTTCTCTTTCCCTGCATCTTATATTTTTCATCTCTTCCTCCTCTGTCACCCTTTCTCTGTTGGAGTCTCACCTACTCTCTCCCCTCATCTCCCTCTTATTTAACAATTTAACATACTTCCTTCATATTCCACGGGATTCATGGTAAGGGTGACATCAGGGCTATTCTATGGGGTCATTGTGGAAGATAGCAAGCACCTGGTGTAACTCCTCCAGCAGCCACAGCCACTGAAGTGTTGCTTTGTTCAACACTATGCGAGCTTCTGGTGTGTTCCAGGCAGCCTGCTGGGCCTGAGGAAGACCATGAGGAATCAGAGGTGTTTGCTGCCCATTTGAGAACACAGCAGTGCTGATGTGAAATATCTGACCATTGGGCCTTTGGTGGTCTGATAAGCAGGTAGGAGAGTGCAGACTACGCTTACCTCTCCGGCTTTGCTTTGCCGATTGGTATTCTGTAAACCCAGATGCTGGGAGAAGTGGTTGGGCGGGGCCCTGAATACACGGGTCTCCAGGTGGGGAGGGAAACATGTTACTGAATCAGTTGGGCAAGTTTTGTCCAATAATATGCCCACCCACACCTACTGTCTCTCCAGACTCTTGGGTGAGATGGTGAGAACCTTTTGTCTTGTGGAGGTGGGGGCGGGGGCAGGATATGACACCTGAATGTAGCCATAGCTCCATAGATGATTCTGGTTTTCTGGTTTCTGATCCCCCACCCCGCCCCGCCCCAAGAGACCTTGCTTGAAATATATTGTCCCCAAACAGTGTTTCTGAGCGGTTGTTCCATGTTTGCTAATTGCAGTTCCTGGTTATTTTTCAGGTTCATTTCACCTTCCACTGCTTCAGGACACAAAGGTGCTGCCCCCACACCTGCCATGAAACCGAAGCTGAAGCAATGGAAACAGCTCATGCTCTTCGGAATATTTGCGTGGGGGCTCCTCTTCCTGGTAATTTTCATCTACTTCACCGACAGCAACCCTGCTGAACCCCTGCCGAGTTCCCTCTCCTTCCTGGAGACCAGAAGGCTGCTTCCCGTGCAGGGGAAGCAGAGGGCCATCATGGTGGCCATGCACGAGCTCTCTGTTGCTGAAGGCACGGACGGGAACAAGGTGCTGTCTGACAGAAACCTGTCAGACCCCTTGAACTTGGGGCCCAGTGACCTGCAGAGATGGGTCCAGGTGAAAAATGGCTTTGAAAATGAAGATGAGTTTTTTTCATCGCAGATCGGGAGAAAATCCCAAAGTGCTTTCTACCAGGGGGATGACAACTACTATTTTGCTGCTGGTCAGCCGGGGCCCCCAATCCACGCTCAGGAGATGTTGCCATTCGTTTCCCGCGGGGAGCGAGACCAGAGGGAGGGCGTTTTGCCCGCATATACCGTGCAGAGAAAGCAGAAGAAGAAAAGGCGCGGGAAGCAGAAGCCAAGCCACGTGTTTGAGGAGAACGACGGCTGGGACGGGCTGTATTCCACCACGTCCAGGGCCTTTCTCTACCGGCTTTGGCAGGGAAACGTCTCCTCCAAAATGCTGAACCCGCGCCTCCAAAAGGCGATGAGGGATTACCTCAACACCAACAAGCATGGGGTGCGCTTCCAGGGCAAGCGGGAGGGGAGGCTGAGCCGGGAAGCGCTGCTGTGCGAGCTGCGGCGCAGGGTGCGCGTGCAGACGCTGGACGGCAAGGAGGCGCCATTCTCTGCGCTCGGGTGGGACAGGCACGTCCCGGCGGTGCCCCTCAGCCGGCTGTACCCTCGCGGCCTCCAGAGCTGTGCTGTCGTCATGTCTGCCGGCTCAATCCTGAACTCCTCCTTGGGGAAAGAAATAGGTGGGTTCTGGTCATTTGGACTCCAGACACTCTGGGGGAGGTAGTAAAGAGGGGCTGGTTCTTTCTAGGATTGGAGTCCCGGGTGATGAAAAAGGTTAATGAGCTCGGCTGTTAACTGAAAGGTTAGAGATTCGAGTCCACCCAGAGGACCCTCGGAAGAAAGACCTGGCAATCTTACTTTCCAAAAAACCAGCCATTGAAAACACTATAGAGCACAGTTTTACTCTTGACGCACATGGGGTGGCCGTGAGTTGGAGTCAGCTTGACAGCAATTGGTAACTGGTGTTATGTACCAGGCTCTGTACCAGATACTGAGAATATGCACGTGAATGAGACGCAGCCTCAGCCTCAAGTCTAGTTGTAAAAACAACCACAAATAGTACATTCTCATGATCAGCGGGCCTAGGTCATGATGAATCTGAACTGACCTTCAGTGGGCATCACTCACTTGTTACAAAGCAGAAACCGTTGTTTCTTGGCTTCTTCGTAAGTGGATCCGTTAGTTGTTCTGTGTTCTTGAAGCGTGGCTGATGGACCAGAGTTGTCTTGGGACGGGGTGATGCCATTGTAAGCTGGCTCCACAACCCAGATCTCATCTCAGACACTTTTTGGGAAGGAGACTGAATGTAATTTTTCTTTTTTTTTTAAGTTAAAAAAACATGCCACAAGCCTGGGCTTGAGCTCTGGGGTTCCTGTGTCCCTGTACTGACATTACAGCAGGCTCTTAATAACAGCCCACGTGTCAGATAAGCTTGTAGCAATGCCAGAACAGAGCAGCCCTCAATTTATCAGGAAATAGCAGTGGTTTAGAGGTCCCGGGGGTGAAATAGCACCATGGGTCTTTCTCATTGCTGAGGACCAATATTAATAATGAAGAGGAGGAATTTAAGTATTATGCTTTGAAGCAGGCAATGACTTGCTTCTGGTTTTGTTTTGTTTTAAATACCTCTGTAGCATAGTTGCATATTTGGATGACTCTTGCAGTTCAGGGAGAATTCCCATGCTCTTTACTCCTGCATAAATACCCTGGCCGGGGTCTTGTAAACTCGACTCTGTCCAGAATTTGGAAGAGAATATGAAAGACAGTGGGGATTACATGTGTCTGGAACATGAGCATCAGAGTTATAGCTTTGTTAGTTTCCAGTATCCACATTTAATTTACACTGTATGCACTTATTTCAGGCTTCATAATCAGAACTGTAGAACTGTAACTGAAGAACATGTCCAGAAATCTTTTTTTTTTTTTTTCAAATTCCCTTTATTGTTTTGTCTGGGTGCCTTTGAATCAGATTTTGTATCTACCTTTTAAGAATATCTAACTGTAGCATAATTCAGTTTGTTAAGCACAAGATATGTCTTTCGTTTTTACAAGTTGGCATCTCTGAGTATCAGCACTATGCCTGCCAAGTGCTGAAATCTGTCCCTCCTGCTCTCCTGCACAAACACGTGCATACCCACGGAGTTATTAATGCCTCTTTTCCTAAAAAAAAGTTTATGTAGCATATTTCTTCAGGAAACCTGGAATTCTGGGGCACGCTGCACTATTTAGCTAAATTCATCTTGGCCCCGAAATATCTAGTGTGAAATTGGCTAAGTGAAGACCAAAAGACTCACCAAAGATCTTGGCCTTAAAATTGAGGGTAGAGCTAGAAAGTTCCAGAAGCGTTTGTGCTTATTAGCACCACCTCAGCTCTGCCTGGACGCCTCCCCCAGGCTGAACATCCCTCAGTACTCTGGAAGGGAGACCAGAGTTGCTCAGGTGTGGGCGTTGGCTGCCCTCTAGCTCCCTCTTGTGCTTTTACTCGATCGGCAATGCAATCCCATTACCTCCTCTGACTTGTTAGACTGAGTCATACCTTGTAATTGTTTTTGAGAAAAGTGTAGCAGCTGTAAACACTTCCACTTTGAATATGTTATTGAAAAGCCAGTTGAATTATTTTGGAAACATGGAAAGTTCTTTTCTAGAATTACGAGATGATGGTTTTCACCCATACATATGAACAATAATAAGTTGGTAGCGAGCGCATGGACTGGCAGCCCTGTGCAAACACTCTACAGAGAAGGAAAATGTCTGCTCTTGGCTAACAGTAATAGCCTTGAAATGGAAAATAAGAATCTGCCTACGTCACTTAAATTAAACGTAAATTCTGGGAAGTGTATGGGAAATGGGAAGCAGGAGAAAGATGTGTGTATGGGGGCGTATAGTATTCGCTGGAGAGCGCTTGGGATTTTTAAAAAGTAATGTTGCGTTTTCAGTGAAAGTTTACACAGCAAATTAGGTTCCCATTTGACAATTTCTACACAAACTGTTCAGTGACATTAGTTACATTTTTCACAACGTGTCAGCATTCTCTTCAATTGCCTTCTGGTTCTTCTGTTTTCAGTATTCTAGTTTCCCTGTCCACTTATTGTCTCCTCTTTGTTTTAGAGTAATTGTTGACTTTTTGGTCTCGTATAGATGGTTTTTTCATGGACCACCGTACTCATGGATAAAATCCTTTATTTTGTGTGCCAATCTGTTGTTTTGCTAAAAGATGACCTCGGGATAGTTTCAGTTCAAGGTTTAAAGAGTATCTCGGGGTGATAGTCTCAGAGAGTCCTAAAGTCTCAACTGGTCCGGTAAGTCTGGTCCAGTAAGAATTTGAAAAATTTGGGCTTTGTTCTGCATTCTCCTCCCATTCTGTTAGGGTTCATCTATTGTGGCCCTGATCAGAACAGTCAGTGGTAATAGCTGGGCACCATCTAGTTCTTCTGGTCTCAGAGTAGATGAGGATATGGCTTGTGTAAGCTATTAGCTCTGTAGAGTAGTTTCTTCTCTGAGACTTTAGTTTCTATCTGAGAGCTTGGAATTTGAAATATCCTGTTACCCTAAAAAAATAAAATAAAATAAAAAAAGCAGCAAAACTGATCATATGATCACTCAACAAACATTATCACCAACTCTTCCAGATACTGTGCTAGCCACTAGTGACACAAAGAATAAGGCACCGACCCAAACCTCAAATAGTCTGCACTCCAGTGGGGAAGACAGACTGTCAAACACAGAATTCTGTGTCATGTGGTTAGGGCAATGACGGAGAAATATATAGACAGACGTGGTAGAAATGACAAAGGAATCTTAGCCCGCCCTGAGAGTTGAAGGCTGGGCAGAGGGAGGAAGGTTAGGAAGAGACTGGGGAAAGAGAGTGGAATCCAGGCTGAAGGCCCACCATAAATAGGTGGTGAGAAAGACTTGGTGTGCAGGTGATAAAAGCTGCAGAAAGCACAAGAAGGCCTCGTGGGGAGAGGAGAGAGAACCTAGAGAGGCAGGCAGTCAGCTCGTGGGTGGTCTTGTACGCCATTCTACAGAAATTAGACTTAATTTAGTCATTGTAATAATTCCCAGTTCCTGTGGAGTCAGTTCTGGCTCATGGTGACCCCGTGTATGTCACTGTAGAACTGTGCTCCATAGGATTTTCAGTGGTTGGTTTTTCAGAAGTAGATTGCCAGGCCTTTCTTCCCAGGCACCTCTGGGGCTGAGGCACCTACGATTTTTTGGTTAGCAGCTGAGCTCGTCAGCTGTTTGCTAGGTACCTTTTATGGTGTGTTTTCTACAGACAAGGTACTATTCCAAATAATTCGTATGTGTTAGCTATTGTAAGCCTTGCAACCCTAAGTGATAAATACAATTATTTCTGTGAAGGTGATAAATACTATTATTCCTATTATATTGATAAGAAATTGGAGGCACCTGGATTTACAGTGGGTTGAGCTTGGGTTCAAACCGTGGTCCTGGATCTTCAAAACTCTAGTTCTAACCACAATGTGGGTGATGCCGGGACACTGAAATCTTTTAAGCAGGGGAGTGACTAGTCAGATTTTCATCTTAGAGAGATTGCTCCAAGAGTCTGGACTTGAGGGTGCGAGGGGAGTCAGTGAGGAGGCTGCCGCCGGACCCCCTGTGAGAAGTAAGAGAGAGACCGGGGTGGGAGAGAGAGGAATCATGGCTTTGTCTTAATCACGCACAGGTCTTTCCCTGATGACGTGAAGCTTTCACTCCTGTGCCATTTCCGTTTTGGTTCTGTGCGTCACTGTCGGAAAAGGAGGAGGAGGCTGTGAACTGGGGCACAGTCCACAGGCAGGGCAGTGGCTTTGTGCTGCCGGCGTGCGCCTGGCTGGGCCGCTCTTTGAAGGCTTTGAATCTTCCTTGAGTGGACACACTTAGCCTCAGCTCAGCTCTCAAGGTCAACACACAACAGCTCTAGTCTGGAAATACCTTCTCCAGAAATGACGCTTGACTTTACTCCCCTTGTGCTTGCTGTCTGAATGTTCCTTATTTTCTAAATATGAACGGACAGCTCAGATTTGTAAGGCACATTATCAAGGAGATTCGCAGCCAGGGATACATTTACAAAACATGCCTGCATGATAGATACACTCTTTTAGCTCTTCCTCCCACACAGACTCCCTCTCCTTCCCCATCTTGATCTGATTCTCCTCACTGACAAGCTTTAGCTAGATACAACACGAGACTTCTCCAGAGCAGCCTTTGATCTTTACCTCAGTTCCTCCTACATGAGTTTGGCGTTTTAACCCTTCAGACTCATACCACTTCCAGAGGAGTTCAGCCGAATTGCATGCCTCCACTCCCTGCCTTGTGAAATTGTTGGAAGGCTCAAAACATAGCTCAGTGTAGGATAAAACAAACCAACGTGCACTGTTGTTGAGTCGCTTCCGACTCATGGTGACCTCATGTGTTTCAGAGTAGAACTGTGCTCGTAGGCTTTTCAAGGCTGTGACCTTTCAGAAGCAGATTGCCAGGCCTTTCTTCTGCGGCGCCTCTGAGTGGATTCGAACTGCCAACCTTTCAGTTAGTAGCTGAGCGCTTACAGGTCGAATGCTGGGCAATTTTCAGGGAAATTATGAATTTGGAATTACTGTTCAATTCATCTGAAGTGCGCCCACTGCCTGGGACCCTGAGCTTGTCTCTATGACCTTTAGCCAGAAGCTGTGACTAAGGTGGCAGCATGGTTTTGTGGGGTCACCTTGAGTCACCATTGACTCTAGGGCAGGGGTGATGTGGCTTAGGAGCAACGACATCACACTTCTTGCGCGGTGCTGTCGCTGTTGCCCCCGAGTACCTGGCAATGGCCTGTTTTGAGTCCCATCTAACTCTGCCTGTGAGAGGGCTCCCCTAGGTCAGCGGTTCACGTGGTGTGGGTCCACGTACCCTCGGGGTCCCTAAGACCTTTTCAGGGCTCTGCAAGGCGAAAACTATTTTTGGAATAATACCAAGAAGTTGTTCTCCTTACTGAGTGATGGCGCAGAAGCAGCGGTGGGCGAGACTGCCGTGTTCTCAGCACCAATCAGGCAATGGCACCAAACTGTACGAGCAGTGATTGTACGTTCCTCACCGCCAAGCATCAGCAGTAAAAGAAAGAAAAAATGCGAGTTTTACTGGTGGATGTCCTTGATGAAGCAGTGAAAATTGTTACATTTATTAAATATCAACCCTTGAGAACACGTGCTTTTAAGATACTGTGTAACAATATGGGAAATATGCAGTACGCAAGCACGCCTGCATACCGACACAGTGGAGAAGCACTTGTACTATTGAGGTGTGAGCTGAACTATCCTTTTTTTTGGAAAAAATCATTTTTACTTAAAAAAATGACTGACAGTCATACTTTGATTATTCAGGCGGAATGATTTGGCAAACATTTTCTCCAAAATGAATTGAGACTGTCACTTTTAGTGATAAAATTCAAGCTTTCAACCATGAGCCTTGAAGCTTCCCATATTTAAAAACTGGTAAGACCCACAGTGATATTAGTGAATATGATTTTTTTTTGTACTTTATAATGAATACACCAGTATTTGGAAGATCTATATATAACTCATTGAACCAATATTCCTAAATGATCCATGCGTGACGTTACAAAATTATGTATGGATAAAAGTTTCATTTTAAGAGCAAGATAACCCCTTAAATCAATCCCGTTGTTGTCGAGTTGATTCTGACTCATGACGACCCCCTGTGTGACAGAGTAGAACTGCTCCATAGGGTTTTCCTGGCTGTACTCTTCATGGAAGCAGATCGCCAGACCTTTCTTCCATGGTGCTGCTGGGTGGGTTCGAACTGCCAACCTTTAGGTTAGTAGTCTAGCGCTTAATTGTTTGCACCACCCAGGGACCTCTTAAGACAAGACAGACTAGTGGATTTGAATGTAACAGAGCATAAAAGGTCATCGATGTGGTTTCAGACACCACGTTGCAACTATAAGAAACTGCCGCTTGTCAAGTTTTGATGAAATATCAAGGAAGAATATCCACAGTTATTGGGAAAGATTCTTAAAATAGTCTTCCCTTTTCAGCGACATATCTGTGCTTTCATATACTTCATCTAAAACGGCATATTGCAACAGATTGAATGCAGAAGCAGATATGAAAAACCAACTGTGTGCTGTAAAGCCAGGTGTTAAAGAGATTTGCAAACATTTAAAGCCAGTGTCACTCTTCTAACTAATGTTTTGTTGTTGTTTTAGAAAATATAGCCCACCGTTCTGTTAAATTAATTAACAATTTACATTTTTCTGTTTTACTTTCGAATATGGTAAATAGCAAGAAGCGTAATCCACGTACACGAAGTCCTTTGGGTTGGCAGTACTTTTCAAGAGTTTAAAAGGGATCGTCCTGAGACTGAAGAGTGAGAACCGCTGCCTTAGATAATTCAATTCCTAGCTCAAATATAATTTGAATTTTTATGGCAAACATGTTCCGTAAAATAAACAACATGGCAATTCATTACCAAAACAAAACACGTTGTGAGATTGTGACGTAATGGAAGGTTCAGGTTATTTGACATCATTTCTATAAAGCCTCCAGAAATACCAAACCCACTGCCATTGAGTCGATTTCAACTCTTAGCGACCCCAGAGGATTTCCAAGGCTGCAGATCTCTACAGAAGGAGACTGCCACGTCTTTTCCTCCGTGGAGCTGCTGGCGGTTTCGAACTGCTGACCTTTCGGTTAGCAGTGGATAGCTTTAACCACTGTGCCAGCAGGGTTCCTTATACAAAGCCTAGGTCCTCTAAAATCTAGGGATCCAGAAACGTTTTCTTTAAAGTTCCAGATAGTAAATATTTAGGCTTTGTGGACCATGTGTAACAACTCGGTGCTGCTGTGTAGACAGAATGTAAATGAATGAGCATGTCTGTGTTGCAGTAAAACTTTCTTTACCAAAACAGGTGGCAGGCCAGATTTGGCCTGCAGGCCATAGTTTGCCAACTCCTACAAAATTTCCTTTAAAAGAACATTACAGGGTTTTTTTTTTTTTTTTTTGGTGACATAGCCAGGTATCCTTTCTACGTTCATTGTGTTCCAAAAGTTTATTAATTTTGGTTCTCAAAATGGAAGCCAGAATTCTTTTGACTTCAGGGCTTGTCCGTAAAGGCACCTTTTGTAACATTTTAATGGCAGAACGTGTGCTGAGTTACTACAAATTAGGCAGTAGGAAGAAGACTCTTGGGGAGACTGCTCGGGAGGTGGGGGGCTTAGATGGGGTATCGTCGCGGTAGATACTGGGCGGGGAGGTGAGAGGTGTGGCGGCGGCAGCGGGGTGGCCCCACTGCCCTTTGGCAAATTCATAACCTCACCTCGTACTTTCTTACAAACAGGCATTGTAATTGCTCCAGTTAAAGAAGCTCAAGACAGCCCATAGAAATTCCCTTATTGCTGATGGACTCTGGTTTCAGGCTGGTCTCTGGGAAGCACGCTAGCTGGCCCTGGAAATTTCAGGACTGCTTTGTGGAAAGGAAAATTACCCCCATTCCCATCCCTTAATCCCGGCACCAGTTGCTGTTGCGTGGACTCTGACTCATGGTGACCCCACATGTGTCAGTAGAACTATGCTCCCTAGGGTTTTTATTGGCTGATTTTTTAGAAGCAGATTGCCAGGCCTTTCTTCCTAGGCGCCTCGGTGGACTCAAACCTCTAACCTTCCAGTTAGCAGCCAAGTGCTTTGACCGTTTGCACCACCCAGGGGTTCCATCCCTTAATTAGGTGAGCCTACTTTCCTCAGGAAGGAGCCCTGGTGGTGCAGTTTAAGCGCTTGGCTGTTAAACGAAAAGTTGATGGTTGGAACCCACCAGCCACTCCACGGGAGAAGGATGTGGCAGTCTGCTTCCATAAAGATTACAGCCTTGGAAACCCTATGGGGCAGTTCTCCTCTGTCCTAGAGGGTTGCTATGAGACGGCATCGACTGGACGGCAGTGGGTTTGGTTTTTTTTAATGTTTTCCCTCTGCCTCCTGTTTGTCTCCTTATCAGCCTCTGTTATATGGGAGTCAACGTTCAGGCCTTATGTTCCCCCAGGACCTCTCAGCCCAACATTCAGAGGCCATGGGATGGTCTTGAGTGTCAAGTCAAAGGAAGCCAGGTGTAAATTTATGTTGTAGTTCAAGCTTGGTGAAGCAGGTGTGCCATTTTGGAATATAAAGAGCCTTGGTAGTCAGTAATATGGGTGGTCTCTCCTGTCCTCCGACGCTGCAGCGGTAAATCAGGCCTTTCTTAGGAATACCCAGCCAAGCCCAACCCCCTGCCGTCGAGTCCATTCCAACTCATAGTGACCCTGTAGGGCAGAGTAGAACTGCCCCTTAGGGTTTCCAAGGCTGTAATCTTTACGGAAGCAGACTGCCACGTCTTTCTCCTTTGGAGTGGCTGGTGGGTTCAAACCGCCAACCTCTCGTTTAGCAGCCAGCACTTAACCACTGCACCACCAGAGCTCCTTCTCCTGGGAATACAGAATGCTCTGATATTGTTCTCCTCTCATGTCTTCGGCATCTTCACCACTCTGTAAGGTTGCGCAGAAATCAGGGTTGTGTTTCTTTTTCAGTACAAATTAGCATCAAATAGTTGTTGTAAGGTGCCGTCGAGACGGTTCCAACTCATAGCGACCATACAGGACGGTGTGGAACCACCCCATAGGATTTCCAAGGAGCAGCTGGTGGATTTGACCCGCCGATCTTTTGGTTAGCAGCCAAGCTCTTAACCACTATGCCACCAGAGCTCTTGCACCAAATAGTAGTAGGGTTAAATTCAAGGCTGTGGGTCATCCTGTGTGAGAGTGACTTGACCTTGGTGAAGGCAGCAGCATTAGACACGATTCGTATTTCTCATGACCAGCTCCTGTGTTCTACAAGCAATAAGAAGCCCTGTTTTCTAGCATCTTTACATGCTCCCCCAGATTCCATCTTCCAACAGTTTGGAATCGTTGGAAGAACGACTGCATAAAGCACGTCGCTTGTTAAGAATGTGAAAGTTTAACAAACATTTGAGCAGAATTTAAATGATATAGGATCGCTTACAGTTGAACAGATTAGTATATGGTTCCATGCTGATTCACCCCTCTACTTGGGATCTCATTCTAAATAAATAGTAAATTATCTGAAAAATGTGTGTGGCTATCTTAACTTTATTGATGATGTTTAATTAGCTTCGGGTATTGAAAGATTTACTTTAACATTTTTTCCTAGATTATGTGATTCTACAGAGAAAAAAAGTAAGCTTGTCACTTATATGCCCTTAGATTCTCATGATGCAGTTTTGAGATTTAACTCTGCTCCTACACGTGGTTATGAGAAAGATGTTGGAAATAAAACCACCATGCGCATCATTAATTCCCAGGTAAGGCGGACGGAGTGTTTTTGCATATGTATATTTTGTAGGTAAATAGTTTTAACTGAATGAGTGAAGAGCAATTAACTGGTTATCCGTGACCATGACATTTGGTTATTTCTAAACTAAACCGAAAAATCAAACCCGTTGCCATCGAGTCAATGCCAACTCATGGCGACCTTATAGGACAGAGTAGAACCGCCCCACAGGGTTTCTAAGGAGCAGCTGGTGGATTCCAACTGCTGACCTTTTGGTTAGCGGCCTGAGCTCTTACCCACTGCGCCACCAGGGCTGCTGGTTATTTCTAGGGGTCTTGTAATTAAAAAGAATTAAAGGGAGAAAAATCCAGAGAAATAGGGATTTAAGCATGACAGGAACAGAAAAAAATGAGACCCAAAGGAAAAACTGGAGTAGATATAGAAATATACAGATACACACCCATACATATATATCTTAAAATCATAGGCTTTGCGTTTTGTGAACCGAGGAAGAGTCAGTTTAACTTACAAAAAATAATGGCAATGAAAAGAAGAGCAAAGGTACAGAAATGAGGTACCCAGCATGTATGAAACGATTCCTTGGTGCTGGTGCCCTGTGAGGCCTTATATGCAATAATCCTAAATGACTCCCATTTTGTGAAGAGGAAGCCGAGCCGAGAGAGATCAAGCCACTTGCCTGTGGTCATTCGCCGAAAGTGGTCAAGCGAGATTCAAGCCCAGGCTGTTGACACCTGAGTCCTACTCAGTGGCATCTGAAGAGAAATTCTGGAAAAAGCGCCCAACTCCTTAAAAACAAACAACAAAAAAATTTCCTTGCACGTTCGCTTGATTTTGAGTTGCAGAAAATAACTTCCACAGTCACTGAGCCTTTATGAAGATATGAGCAATCCTTTTAGACACCTGTTGGGTGTAACATATGTGATATATTTCTGAACATTTTCCAGCTGTATCACAGTTTATTGAGAACTCAGAGATGTGAGTAGTGTTTTTCAGACTTAAAGTTTACACGTACATTTTAGTCACTGGATGTGTTCTAAGACCTCGTAGATACTCTGTCAGGAATTTATTAAGTGAAATCTGAGGGCCTGTAGGGTAGCTTTGAACTTAAGCGTATAATTTGAAAATTAAAAAAAATCAAACTTGAGGTACTGTTGCAAATGAAAATACCTCTTTCCTTCATGTCCTTTTAAGAAAGTGCTCCAAATTTATAGCAGTTATTCTCAGAACAAACCACAACAGTTTCTAGATTTTTGAAACTCTGTTGAAAAGAAATGAGGTGATGAGTGATTTATTATGAGTTGCTTGCAGAACAAAAGATTAGCTTTCTGCATAGTTCGCAGAGCCAGGCAGCCGGCAGCAAGTTAAGAAACAATTACCTTATTTCCTTAAGAAACAATTACCGTGTTTCCTTAATTCGAAGATGTCGTTGATGGTAAGACCCGCCATTCATTCAATGACAGCTTTTCAGAGAGGAGATAAACCCCACCAAATGAAAACGCGTGTACGTGTCACCTGTAAGATTCCTCCCACCATCAGAAACAATAAAATGTGAAGGGAAAAAAAAGTACATGTTGAAACTGAAGAGAAACAGTATGTTACATTTTTCCAAAACTGTAGTAAACAAAGATGATTGGCAGAAGAGATTGAAGAACTCATCCAGAACCAGACAGAGCCACAGAGGATGGACTCTCACACCCTGGGGCTGATTGAAGTATATTGGCTCTTTCTGTGTCCCGTTTGTCCTGAGGCTGGCACTCTGGAGGTGACTTAATAACCCACTTCATCCACGCCTGCCTCTCTCTCCAAATTACCTGTCAAAGCAATTGTAGAAGAGGTTGGGGGCCCGAGTTAGCTAGGCAATTACATCTCTGCAGAGCTGATTGCGTACTACTAGAGAACATTTAAGGACTGGTGCTTTTAAAAAAAAAACTCATTTCCACAAACATTCTCTTAAGTGCTTCAACATGCAATGTCTGCCCTTCTTCAGACCCCGCCAGAAAATAGAAAGTCTGAGGAGCATTTTCTCTTGCTTTATTCCTCTTTTTAACTTTTGTATGTGTGTTAAAAATATAATTTTTGAAGAAGCAAACACTGGTTTTGAAATATTTTTCTCTTTATATATATTTCTGTATATTTGCAGATTCTGACCAACCCCAACCATCACTTCTTCGACAGTTCGTTGTATAAAGACGTCATTTTGGTGGCGTGGGACCCTGCTCCTTACTCCGCAAATCTCAACCTTGTAAGTCTTTCCTCTGGTACCTGTCCTGTCGCCTTGTGCTGCTGTCACAGAAATACCACCGGTCGGTGCCTTACGAAACAGGAATTTATTTTGTCGCAGTTTAGGAGGCTAGAAGTCCAAATTCAGGGCACCTGCTGTACGGGCAAGCTCTCTCTGTGCCAGCTCTGTAACCTGGAGTTCTTCAGTTCCTTGGCCAGCTTCATGGGGCATCTATTTTTCTCTTGTTTGGGCTTCTTGGTCTCTTTGTCTACGCTGCTCCTTATAACTCAGGAGTGATTAGGTTTAGGACACACCTACACTGGTATGACTCATTACCATAACAAAGTCAACCCTATTCCCAAATGGGATCACATCTACAGGTATAACGGCTAGGATTCCAACGCAAATTTTGAGGAAACACAATTCAGTCCTACCCCAATAGTCAGACAACGCTTTGACTGATGAGCAATGAGAGCAAGACAAGGATTAAGCTTCGACGGACGCAATGAAACTGATCATAGGTACTAATTAAATGCGTACGTGTTAACACTGTTTTTCCTCCCCAGTTACAGTAGCTTACTTGGTGAGCGTTATCCATCTCATGCTAAAGTGCTTTTGTTCTGGAAGATTTAAGGAAAAAAAATGTAGAATGTCTAAATGTTTAGAAATTCCTAGTTACACTGGAAGTTGGGCTAATTAAACTCAGAGTTTTTAAATTGCAATAGGGTTACATCACCTTCTAAATAGTTACAAGACCTTTTGGAATAAATTGGAAGTATTTGACAAGAGAATCTAAACTCTGTGAATCAACAGCTCATTATTATTCCAGTGAAACCCGTTACAGGCATTTGTTGAGTGTGCCTCTCTTTGGCGTCTGCCTGTAAGCCTTTTTAATCTTATGTGATGTAGCTCAAACAAGATTATTACTAGCCACCAAAATACAAGCAAGTTATATTTGTGAAATCGCAGTAAATAGAAGCCTATTTGTAGCAGAACAAGCAGCTAGCTACTTTTGGTGAAACCTTGCGAGGAAAGCTGGTGTCCTTGTCTTTTAATGAAGGGTAGGAATGATGAATGAAAGTTAACCTAGAGAAAGATGCTGTCGGCTGTGTAACTGAATGTCTTTTGTGTTGGCCTCAAGAAAATGCAGCTTTCTTAAGATGAATGTGAGATGACACACATTGGTGCCACATAAGGAGTAACTTTCTAAGAAAACTGCCCACAGTAGGATAGGTCCCTCAGGAGAAAGAGGATTTGGGCACTGTGCATCTTGAGACTGAGGCTGGATATTTACCTGGCATGGTTGCTAACTGGTTCTTAACCACGAATGCAAATCAGAATCACTTGGAGAGTATTTTCCAAATCATATCTGTCATAGCCCTGTTTCCAGAAATGTGGGATACGGGCTCTCTGTGTTTTTTGAGAACACTTCTTAGTTGATTCCCATACGCGCGCTTCGTTGAGAATCATGCGTCACATGAGTGTTTGTACTTTTCACCCTCCTTCCCAGTCTGAGGTTTTCTGGTTTTAGGCTCTGACAACTCTCTTGCTTTTGGAGAACAGACAGAGAGCTTCCAGCTGTTTGAGCTTGTTTCTTCCTCTGTTGGAAGCATCTAAGCCCAGGGCACAGTGCCGTTCAACTTGAAGGATACGGGCAGCAACTGAGCTGAAATCCAAGGGTCATGGCCCGTTGCTATGGGGGCCTGCACTCTGCTGTGTGAGAATCTGGGAGAAGAGTGATAGGAACAATTCCTTTTCTGGTCCCACACTTCTCTTGCTTCCTTCCCGGGGCCTTGTAGCTTGGGGGCCACAAGGTAATTTGGGCCAGTCATTTTCAAAAATGGTAAAACCACAGAACTCTTTCATTAATAGAATATTACTTGGGATCTTAGATGGTATATACAACCCGTGGTACCTGTTTGAAGGGAGCATGAGTTCAGCCTTTCCCGCACACATCTTCTCCAAATCCTATTTCACGGTGGCACCTGAGATACCTCTGAAGGCTTTTTTTTTTTTTTAAATCAACCTTACTGTGCTATAATTTACATACAATAATAGTAAGAGTACATTTTGGTGAATATTACCAGTTTTATACACTCATGCACTCACCACCACAATCAAGATATAGAATATTTCCATCACCCCAAAAAGTTCTTCTGTGCCCCAGTCTCCCCATCCCCAACTCCACACCGGGCAACTACATTTTTCTGTCACTACAGATCAGATTTGGAAAACTTTCTTTTGAAATAAAACTATAGCCATGGGACAAATCTGGTTGCCACCTGTTTTGGTAACTAAAGTTTTATTGGAACACAGACATGTCCATCCATTGCATATCGTCTAAGCTGCTTTCACCCTGCAATGGCAGGGATGAATCGTTATGAGAGATACTGCATGATGCCAAAGCCTAAAATGTTTACTATTTTCCCTTTACAGAAATAGTCTGCAGACTCCTGATCTAGCCCATTTGCTTCCACTGACTAAAGAATAAACCATTAGCTCCTGCTGGGGCTGGAATCCTGGTTTCTCCTTGTACTTTCCCTCATACTAGTGAGGAAGTGCCTATAGAAGTGATGAATCATTTTCTTGCCCATCTTCTTCCCACCCCAGCCTGTCCCCCAGCCTCTCAATCCACCCTCCTGGGTTCTGCCCTGCTTTCTCTTTACTGTGTATCCTCTGCACTTGATTGTGTTGATCTTTTTTTTTTTTTCCCCTCTTAGTGGTATAAGAAGCCAGACTACAACCTGTTCACTCCATATATTCAGCATCGTCAGAGAAACCCAAATCAGCCATTTTACATTCTTCATCCTAAATTTATATGGCAGCTTTGGGACATTATCCAGGAGAACACTAAGGAGAAGATCCAGCCCAACCCACCATCTTCTGGTTTCATTGGTAGGTATATATTAAAAGTTAGAATGATTGGGTGGGAGGGCAGGGTTAGGCTTGATAGTTAGCAAATATATACAGTCATGCTATGTAGTAGGGGCAATTCATAGGTAATTTCGGAGGGAAAATCGATTGAGTAAGGAAAAGAGACACTCTGTTCCAGTTACCTATTGCTGCCTAACAAACTACCCTGAACTTCAGAGGTGTAAAGCAGGAACTGTTTTATTTCTCTCATGATTTTCTGGCTTAGCACAGGCTTGGTGGGCAATTCTCCCGTTCCACATGGCTTCCATGGAGGCCACTTGGTGGTGTTCAGCTGGTTCATGTGATGGCTTCACTCCCCTGTGAAGATGGCAGGGATGACTGGAAGGCCACGCTCAGCTGGGACTGTTGACTATGTGTCTGCAGGTGGGCTGTCTTGCATGGTGGTCTCAAGGTAATTGAACTTCTTAAATGGCAGTTCAGAGCTCCTCAGGAGAGTGTTCCGAATGACTGGAAACGAAAGTTCCCTGTCTCTTAACTTGTCCAGCGTGACTTGTGCTGTATTCTATCCGTCAGAGCAGTGACAGAGCCCAGCAGATTCAAGGGGAGGAAACGCAGACTCCACCTTCTGATGATGGGCATGGGAGCAGTGTCAGAGAAATTGCAGCCTTTTTAATCCACATACCACATCACATTGGTTATATGATGCCAGGATGATGAGCTGAATTTGTGACCACAGGATCTCGCCGTAAATATACAAGATTGCTGGTGGTTTGGGGCTTTGATGCTATCAGTTCTAGAATCTTGTACATCTCTCTCAATCAGAGAACCTGCTAGCTCTAATCCGAAGATGACTTTTTATGACAAGATGATCAAACCTGGGTTATTATATTTTTTTGCAGCCATGCTTTGATCCTCAAAGTTTGTGGTTTTACCCCATTTTTTTTAATCTATGTTTTATCTTACCCCGTTATTTCATGCCTACTTTGATTTTACCAGAGCAAGGACAACATTCAGGAATATTTTAGATCTCCTTGGCAATATGAAAGGCTTTAAACAGGCCAGAGGATATTCATTTTATCTGTAAAAAATTGTCATGTTCTCTGCCCCGATTTCAGTTGATGTACAACCCTGCACTTACCTGGGCCATACAGTGGGTCCCCCTGGATAAGCCAGAGATTTATAGAGATTACAGTGGTTTGGTTATGGATATGGGGCACACAGCTTGCCCGAATTGAAGCTTGCAGATTTAGGAGTGGATTTTCAGTATTGTAATAATGTGAAATATTCTATGTAAAATTCAAGAAAGGATTAGAATATGATTCTGCTCATTATTTTCCTGATAACAGCTCCCCCCCCCCTTTTAAAGTCATGCCTTTGACACTCTTTGTTTCCAGATCCCTCTTTTGAAAACCTAAATTCTTTACCTTTTGTGCAATTTAGAAGGACCCTGTTGATTTAGGAAAGAAAGTATAATCTAGTTTGTCAGCAAAGGGTAAACAGGATAGGCTAACGCTTAAAGAGCATGATAGAATGTGACAGAAGTTTAATAAAGTCTTTCATTTTGTTGCCTTCTCGTGAGTTCATATGGCTAATATTTGATTAGAACAAAACCTTTAAAACACAATAAGATGGGTTGTCAGATATAGTGATCATCTACACATAGTTTGAAAAATTCAACTTAAATAGTCATAGCTATGGAAAAATACTTTCCCACGTGTGCATTTTTTGTAATTGTGGTAAAATATATATAACAAAACGTTTGCCATTTCAACCATTTTTACGTGTACAGTTTTACATTTTTACATGTGTGATTCAGTGCACAATTACACTCACCATATTATGGAACCGTCACAAATCTCCATTTCCAAATTTTTCATCATCCACAACAGAAACTCGGTGCCCTCTAAGCAGTGACTCCCCCAGTCCCCTCTCACCTGCCCCCGGTAACCACTAATAAACTTTTGTCTCTATCCATTTGCCTATTCTAGATATATCGCGTAAGTGGGAATCATGCAGTAGTTATCCTTTAATGTCTGTCTTACTTCACTCAGCATGATGTTCTAAGTTCATCAGTGTCTTAACATGTATCTGTACTGTATTTCTCTTTATGGATGAATAATATCCCATTGTATGTATGTACCACATTTTGTTTATCCATTCATCTTTGATGGACATTTGTGTTGTTTCCACCTTTTGGCTACTGTGAATAGAGCTGCAGTGAAAATTGGTATACAAGTTTGCATCTCTTTCAAGTCTTTTGGATAGATACCTAAGATTGGGATTGTGGGGTTATGGTAGTTCTGTGTTTAGCTTTTTGAGGAACTGCCAACTGTTTTCCACAGTGGCTGCATCAATGTACAGTCCCACCCACAATGGATAAGGGTTCCAGTGTCTCCACATCCTCACTGATACTTGTTGTTTTCCATTTTTCCTGATAATAGCAATCCCATTGAGTATGAGGAGTCCCTGAGAGGTATAGATGATTAAAATGCTTGACTGCTAACTGAAAGGTTGGAAGTTTGAGTCCACCCAAACGTGCCTCTGAAGAAAGTCCCAGAGATCTACTTAAAAAAAATCTGTCATTGAAAACCCTATGGAGTACAGTTCTACTCTGACACACATGGGGTCACCGTGAGTCAGGGATGACTCTACAGCAACTGGTTTGGTGGTTGTGAAGTAGTATCTCATTGTGATTTTCGTTTGCATTTCCCTAAAGACTCATAATGGTGAACATTTTTTCATGTGATTATTGTCCATTTGTCTATCATCTTTGGTGAAATGTCTATTCATATTTGTTGCCCATTTTTCCATTGAGCTGTTTATTTTGTTGTTGTTGAGTTGTCAGAGCTCTTTATATATTACGGATATTAAATTCTTATCAGACATATGGTTCCCAAATATTTTCTCCCATTCTGTAGGTTGCCTCTTCACTTTCTTGGTAAAGTCCTTTGATGCACAAAAGTTTTCTAATTTTGATGAAGTCCACTTTATCCGTTTTGTTTTTTGTTGCTCATGCTTTTGGTGCATATCTAAGAATCCATTGCCAAAACTAGGTCTGAAGAATTATAATTATCCCTATTCTTTTTCGACTAAGAGTTTTATGGTTTTAGTTCTTGCATTTATGTTGTTGATCCATTTTGAGGTAATTTCTGTATATGGTGTGAGATTTGTGTCCAGCTTCATTCTTCTGCATGTGGAGATCCAGTCGTCCCAGCACTATTTACTGAAGATGAATTCTACCCCCGTTGAATGAGTTTCCCATGTAGTTTTGCTGAAAGAAATCATACTGCATATGGCCAGCTTCCTTTCAGAACTATTTATTGAGAATTTGGAATTTTCAGAGCCTGATGCTTGCCTTTAACTCTTCATTTACATAAAAAAGGAGACTTGTATCTTAATGTGACAGCAGGGGTGTGGGTTGGGGCCAGACAGATTTAAGTTGAATTCTACTCTGTCACTTACCACCTTTCTGATCTTGGGCAAGTCGTTTAATCCTCTGAGCCTCAGTATCTTCGTATGAGAAATGGGAGTAATAATAACACCTAAGGATAAGTAGTTGGCTAATTTTTGTTAAGTTTTCTAGCACTGTGCTGTCCCGTATAGTAGCTGTTAGCCACATATGGCTACTTAAATTAAATGAATTAAAATTAAATAAGGGTAAAACTTCACTTCCTCAGTTACCCTCACCCCAATTCAAGTTCTCAGGAGCCACATGTGCCTACCTGTTACCCGTTGCCGTTGAGTTGGTTCCAACTCACGGCAACCTTAAGAGAGAGTAGAGCTGCCCCATAGGGTTTCCAAGGAGGGGCTGGAGGATTCGAACTGCTGACCTTTTTGGTTAGCAGCCGAGCCCTTAACCACTGTGCCACCACGGTTCCCACATGTGCTTAGTGACTATACCATATTAGACATGGCAAATTTAGAACATTTCCTTCATCACAAGAAGTTGTATAGGAGAGCACTGTAAATTTTGCTAATGCCCAAAGAATGAAAAAGAGCAAGTGAATAAGCAGTCGTTAAGTTCCTGCTCGATAGGCTGTGCTCTCTGGTTGCGGATACAGATGCAATAAAAGACCTGGCCTGGCATCATTAAACTGCTTTTGCTGCTATTGTCCCTTGTCATATTTAAGTGCGTGAGCCCTCTCACCAAGAATCAGCAGTCGATTGAGCCTGGGATAGCTCTGCCCAGCAGAGCACAGCCCACCCTCTGAATCCCCTTTTGATGCTGTTTTAGTCATTTACACTTCCTCTTTGATCCTTCTCAGAAATATACTGAGAACCAGAGTCAATTTTATAATTTATCTGATGTTCTTAATTACCAGTAAAATAACGTCATCCACATCTCAGTCTGTCTGCCCTAAGAATTTTTAAAAAATCAATGAGTTTTTTTTTTTTTCCTGTAATCAAAAAACGTTTTCCAAATGCGCCGCTAGGTTTTGAGGTCATGTTGAAAATGTATTGACTTTTTGTCTCAGCACCTCACTTCCAAGCACTCTAACCTCCAACGCCAGTTAGTGAACAAAAGAACTCATCCTAGAGCTGAGATAGATTAGAATGTTTCAGTTTGTACAGGAAAACACTCTGCCCTGAGTCAGTGGGTAAACAGGATGCCTCTCATTAGAGAAGAGCATCCTGGAAGTTTCCCTGGCACTCGGCTTTCCTAATTAGCATACGCCTCCACCTGGACGTGAAGCAGTACCTCTTTATTGATGATTGCTTATCCATATGTGGAAAAACAGTCTCACATTTAGTTACTTATTATTTTTAAACCCTCTGTATACATTTTCCTTATATGCGTTTAGGGATCTGCATGTGTGAAATAGAGGGACTCTGCTCTATTGTTCGAAAAGTTAACTATTTTGAACACAAAAGACATTTCTTCTTATGGAAATGTATCCAGTGGTGGTGAGATTCCCAGGGAAACAGACCGGAACCCATTAAATGTAGTGTTATTTAGTATTATTCAGAAGTTTTGTGATTGGGACTGAATTCATCCTGTAGGAGGGAAGCAGAGAAGATGA